ACACTCTGACTTAGACATGGCAGGGAGAAGAGAGACTTTAACAATGCTTCTTTGGCAGCGTCCATGGGCAGAAACGTCCACTTACAGATTTATAATGTTAAATCACCCTTGCTTTTCCTGGAACACACGAAACCCAGTCGTAGTGTTTCATTTTTTAATATACTCTTGATTTGATTTCCTAACGCCTTGTTTAGGTTTTTATGTATCTCCGTTCGTGAATGTGATTGGCCTGATAATTTCCTCTTTCGTACCTTTTTTTGGTTCTGGTTTCAATGTCAAGTTTATGCTAACCTAATAGAATGAGTTGGGGAAATAGTCTTTCTTTTTCTTCCCTATGGAAGAGTTTGTATAAGATTGAGACGATCCATCATGAAAGTTCTGTAGAAACCACTGATAAAACTTCTGGGCTGCACGAAGTCAAGGCTATAGTGAGATGTGATCATGCTACTGCACTCCAGCCTGGACAACAGAGTGAGACCCTGTCTCAAAAACACAAAACCAAAACTAAAACCAAAAACTTTGGGGCTATGTTTTTTTCTCTCCTCTGGGCTAGATATTTTTGTTTCTCTCTTTTAAAAAACTTTTCATATAGAAAATTTCAAGTTGTATACAAAGAGAGTTTGTACACAAACATATACACACAAACTCTAGTTTATTTTTTTTTATTATTTTGAGATGGAGTCTCGCTCTGTTGTCCAGCATACATACTGTACGATTCCGTTGTATGTAAAAAAAGCATACATACTTTGTATGTAAAAAAAGCGTACATACTGTATGATTCTGTTTATGTAACATTCTTGAAATAACATAACTATAGAGATGTAGACTAGATTAGTGCTTGCCAGAAGTAGGTATGGGAGAGGGAGGGTATTGTGGTTATGTAGGGGTAGCAACATATAGTGCTGTGATTGTGGTAGCGGCACAGCATAGAGACACACACTTGCACATGCACACCCACACACAAATGCACACACGCATGCATGCACACATACGCATGTATAACTGGTGAAATCTGAAAAAAGCTCTGTGGATTGTACCAATGTCACTTTCCTGGTTTTGACATTGAATTATAGTTATGCTAGATGTGAACACTGGTGGAGGCTGGGTGAAGAGTGATGGGCCTCCAGGTACATTTTATTTTTTCAAGTTTCTGTGAATCTACAATTATTTCAAAATTCAAAGTTAAAACAAATGTAGTTAGTTTGCAGACCTCTGACACTGATCCTGTGAATGTTCACTGAAGTGCTCTTTGAATGTGCGTCTTTGCATGTATGGTTTTACATTGATATTTCGTGACTGCTCATAGCAAGGAAATTAGCAGTAACACAATTTTTGGTTTGCACTTTTTTCCACATCAGTATCCAAGACCACAAACTGTATTTTTTTGATGTCTGGAAACAAAGTGGGTTAGGGGAACTGTACCCTACCTTAGTCTTTTTCTTTCTCAGTTAGGCTATGGCCCCTCCCCCTTTAGGTGTTTGAAAGGAATATATTGGTTTTGTCTTTTTCTCTGCACCACGTAAAGTCCAGAAGTGTCTTTAGAGGCCTGGAACTTGCTGCTGTTTCAAAAAAGAGCTTTCTCACTGGTCTCTAGGGTTTCTGCCTTTCTCTCCTATACATTAGGAGTTTCAGTCTGGTCACATAAGTGAGGGAAGTGGGCAGGGTGTAAGAGGATCTCGTTCATTCAACATGTATTTATGAAGCATGCTTGTGCCAGACTGGGTGCTTGTCACTGGACTTAGCAGATACCAGGACAGGCCTCCTTAGAACTCACGGTTCAAGATAGGCTCTTCTTAATGTGACTAATTCATGATCAAAGGGTGTGCACATTAAAATTATGAGGTAAACATACAAATTGTATGCTAATTTCACATAACAGGCAAGACCTGAGAAGCCCCCAGAATCATGGTCCTATGTCTTAACTCTGTCAGGAGCCTTAACCCCGCCTGTTAGGAGCTGTGGCTGTGCTCAGAAAAGATGACGAGGATGACCAGGACAGACAGTAGGTGCGAGGACAGGGCAGAGAGGACCTTGGTGACTGCCCAGATGTGGGATGTGATGAGGATTCTGATCCATCCAAAGCAGGGGAGACTCTCGGTGGGGACCTGGGTGACCCTTCCACTGAGCACTCTGAGTGGTGTGTGTGTGTGCCCTGCAGGGACACTGACTGACTGGACCTGAGCTCTTGGGAAGGGCAGGGGTGGGTCTGTAGGACCAGACTTGCCTCTGTGGGTGGGAAGTGGTGGGAATGAGGAGGGTGAGGGTGACTGGGAGGACTCTGGTCTGTTTTTGTCTCCTGGGGAATTTGGGCCCTACCCTGGGAGACAGATGTTCAGGCCCCCACTTGTCCCTCAGGAGGATTGTGTGTGAGCAACTAGCAGATGGCAAAGGCCTCTGATATGCGGCATGAGGCTTGGCCTGGAGTCACTGAGAGGATTGTTTAGGGGCTCAGTGCAGCTCAGCTTTCCAGGGGCTTAGCTGAGCTCAGGGAACAGGATGGTGTCCTCAAGGGGTGCTCCAGGCTGGGTGATGGTAGTGGTTCCAAGGTCAGGCACTGGGGTCGGAAGTTAATCATGAAAAGTTCCCACTGTGTTGTAGGCAGAGACGATGGCTTGAGTCTCAGAGGTAGGGACATTCACTGTGAAGCTGGAGCAGACTCAGCCTTTCCAAGGTCATACTTTGGCTACAGAAATCAGCCCTGCCAGGGGTGTCAACAACCCTTGCCAACAACCCTAACATTTAGTCATGTGCACAGGGCTCACGACAAACACATTATAAAAGAATCAGGTTCTCCCTCATTGCATCTTTCTCAGGCAGAACAGACGGGGCGGCTTTTCCCGGTAGTTTCTTCTTCCCATCTGTGTGCTCCCTGCAGCAGTGTTTGCAGATGACCCTTCCAGGGTCACTATCCATGGTGCTGATGTCCATGAACTATTGAAGGGCTGGTGAGTTGTGATCTTCCAGTCACATCTCTTTTATTGTTTGTTTTTCTTTTCTTTTTTCTTTTCCTTTTTTTTTTTTCTGAGATGGAGTCTCACTCTGTCAACCAGGTTGAAGTGTAGTGACATGATTTTGGCTTACTGCAACCTCCACCTCCCGGGTTCAAGTGATTCTCCTGCCTCAGCCTCCCGAGTAGCTGGCATTACAGGCATGTGCCACCACGCCTGGCTAATTTTTGTATTTTTAGTAGAGCCAGAGTTTCGGCATGTTGGTCAGGCTGGTCTCAAACTCGTGACCTCAGGTGATCCACTCCCGTCGGCCTCCCAAAGTGCTGGGATTACAGGTGTGAGACATCACACCCGGCCACATCTCTCATTCTTAACAACTGAGCTTGTCACTGAGGAGAAGGTGGAGAGGTACTACGGGCATGGAGAGCCCTCCGTCTCCCTCTCTCAGGACTTGGATGGTGCTGGGGATGTCACTACAAAAACTGACGCCACAGTCAGGATAACCCTATCCAGGTGCCCATGTGTAGTTTGTAGTGAACAATCATGATAAAATGGCCTTGAGAGGAGTGATGGATAGAACAAGCACCTCGCAAAGATGCACACATCCTCATCCCAAGATGTGTGAATACGGCACATGGTAAAAGACACTTAGCAGATAAATGAAGGATAATGACATGGGGAGATTATTGCGATTTATCCAGGTGGGTCCAAAATAACCACAGGTCCCTTCCTTACAAGAGAGAGAGGCAGGGAAGTCAGTGAGGATGGAGGCACAGCACAGAGAGGTTTCAAGATGCTGTACTTCTCGCTTTGAAGATGGAGGAAGGGGCCAAAGTTAAGGATGCAGGCAGCCTCTAGTAATTGGAAGAGGTGAGGGAGCAGACTTTTCCCTGGAGCTGCCAGGAAGAACACAGCCAAGTGGACACATTGTTGTTGTTTTATGCCACTAAGTTTAGCAATGGAGTTGTCATCTCTGTTGCCCAGGCCGGCATGCAGTGGTGTGATCAGAGCTCAGTGCAGCCTCAACCTCCTGGGCTCAAGCGATCCTCCCGCTTCAGCCTCCTGAGTAGTTGGGACCAAGGCACACACCAACATGCCTGGCCTGTGGGAATTTGTCACAGCATCAACAGGAAACTGATCCAAGAGATGTCACCTTGTCTCATCTGACGATGTGTGCAGGTGGGCTAAGGAGTCATTTAGAGCTAAATCCTGATGTAAATTTACAGGTTGTTTTTCCTTTTCCCATCTCATGGCAAACAACCCTGGGCAGTGGCAGAACATCCTCAGGAACCATGGCTCTGTGCTTTAGTGCAGGGACCAGCCTGATTGTGGGAAGGTGGCATCTGGTCTGAGTGAACCTCCGTGAGATCATTACACTCCCCGGGGCCCTCAGGAAGGACAGAGAACCTCTGGCCCAGGTATGTAGTGGAGCTGCAGTTGAAGCCTGAGTGGAGGGCCCTGCAGGCCAAGGAGAAGAGGAGACAGGTGGTCCCATTGCCACGGGAGACTGCGTGAGCTTTAGGTGAGACAGCCCTGTGTCTCTGACCTGGAAGCCCCTGTGTGGAGAGGAGGATTGTTCAGTGAGATCCATGCCAGGGGGTAAAGTGGGAACCGATGGGAAATGATGGGCTAGAGTCCCAGGTAGTGTCTGGGAGGATCTTACTCCAGGACTAAATTCTGGGTCTGTCCTCCCCTTGATTACTCTTACAGCCCCTCTGTGTATCCCCTAAAATGAGTAAAGATGTCCTGAGCGCTGGCCTTTTGGACAGAGAGTAAACCCAATGGCCAGGGCTAGGCACTGTAGGTCCCTGGGGCAGTGTGAGGACAGCCAAGAGCTCGGCTGGCTGGGCAGTGCTCCTGTGAATCCCGCCCTTTCCTGTGTAGGGTCCCCCCCATTCTGACTCCCAACCCCCTATTTCTGCCTCCTAGGGAAAGAGAGACTGGGGTTGAAATAAGTTGGAGATGACATTTTCCCTGTGTGACCAGGAGAGAATAGATATGGAGTTTCAGGTGAATTTTTGCAAAGTTCCCATGAGCAGAAAAAGAGCCAATGAGAGGAAGGGTCTTGTTTATTGAGATCCTTTCCAGGTGATCCCGGGTGACATTCACTTTCTCTGCAAGCCTCTGCTTCCTGTGGTGATGGGAGGCCTTTGTCCTGGCCCACCCAGAGCCCAGGGCAGCCTGTCGGGGTCCTCGGATATTCAACAGGGACCCTCCATCCCTCCCTGTCCCCAGGCCCCAGTGTCTTTTCAGGACTCAGAGCTGGTTCTCTGGCTCAGGCTCCATGTCCTTCCCCATCCCCAGGGCTGGGGGGTCAGGATGCTCCATCAACCCACAGGAGCAGCTCCCAAAGGAACCTAAGAAGCCACATCTCCTTTGCGGTCCATCCGGCAGTAAACATTTGTGTCATGTTTTAGCATTTCCTGCAAAAACAGAGAAGAGGCCTAAACCCCTGTAGCCTTCTCAGAACAGGGTCTGGTGTCTCCCAGGCTCTGGGCCCAGCCAGGGCTGCTCTGGGGCTGAACCTGACTGTGCTCAGGGGGTTCCTGCTCCCAGGCCCCTCCCTCTTCTGCTCACCACCCCCTGTTCTCATTTTCACAGCAATTTCCTAGATCTCAGAGCTCAGCCGGTGCCAGTCGGGACAGATCCTGGGTCCCCTGGGGCCTGTGGGACCAGAACATCCGTGGCCCACACTCACCTCATAGATGGGAGCAGCTGTCCTGGGGCCAGGTCGGGGGGCCTGGGCAGCGGAGAGGGAGGACATCTGTGGACAGGGATGGAGGGTCATGGAGGCCAAGCCTGCAAGTTTCCTGTCTCTGATTGACCAGGATTTACTTCCCTGTGTCTATTTCTGGTCATTTCCCCTCAGGAGTGACCAGCTCTGCCCCTGAGCTCAGCCTCCCAGTGTGGACACAGCACCCTGACCCTTTTCCTGGCTGGGCCCACCCCGCACCCTTGTTAATGTGGGCCCCTGACTGACGGTCCCAGTGTCCACTCTGCACCTGCCAGACTCCAGGGGTCTCCTCAGGCGATGGAGGGTCCCAGGGAGGGGTCAGCACAGGGTGTGGGTGGTCCCAGCCCTATAGGGAGGCCGAGCTCCTGGGCAGGGCAGGGCTAGCCTTGTCCTGTGTGTTCTGGGGAAGGTGGGTCTGTGCTGTGCTCGGGGGCTGATGGTCCCTCTGCCCAGAGCCTGCACAGCTGGGACCCCAGTAGAAAGGGGCTGGGAGGGGACAGGCTTACCAAGAAGGCAGAGCTGTGGGAGGGACCACGGCCTGGAAACAGAGACAGGAGTGAGCAGCAGGGTGGGAGGAAGGCGGTCACCTCCCCCTCTCCAGGAAGGCATGGGGTGTCCTCAGCTCTAAGATACCTGAGCAGCTGAGATTGGGGAGGTGACCCCTGACCCAGAGCCCACAGGTCAGGGCTGACCCGGCCAGTTGGGGCCCCCTGTTTGATGTTTATGAGATCCTCTTTGCAGCCCCCGGGAAAGGATCAGAGCCTCCCTGGGAGTGACTGGCAGGAGCGGACACTGTGGGGTTGGCCTAGGGGTTCCCAGCCACACCTAGGCTGAGAGGACACTCACCAGGGGCAAGGACTTGGGGCTGCTGCTCCTTGAGGTCGTGCTGGATGCTGGTTCTAGGAAAGGTCAGGGTCCTTTGGGAGGGTACCGGGTTAAAAGCCACAATTTTGGAGTTAGAACAGGGGACAAGAAGGGAAGCCCATTTTCAAGGACGGGCATGGAGACCTCCTGTCTCCCTCAGGTTTGTGTTAGGGGGAGCCCAGCAGAGGGTAGCTGAGGAGAGGCTTTAGGAAGCCACATCTGTCCTGAGCAGAAGGGAAGGACCCTCAGGCAGATGCTGGGCCAGGAGAACATTGACCCAGGGACCCAGGAAAGGGACTGAGAACCCAAGGAAGGAACCAGACCATGAGGGTTGGCCTGAGAGGAAGGGTCAAGGCCCCAGAGGGAAAACAGGGCCACTTGTGCAGGACACGGAGGGGACTGCAAGTGTCTTGGATTCTCCTGGAACTGAGTGTCCTGAGTGGTGATGCTGAAATGGGACAGTGTCCTTGTCCTCTCTCTCAACCGCTTGGCAAGAGACACAAAGGACGCTCCAGGACATGCTGGTGTGAGGCCCAGGTTCTCCCATCTCACACCTCAGGGCCTATGGTTACTACATCAGCCATGGGGGGCACTGACCCCACCCAGCCTGTCCAGGCTGGTCCACTCCCCATTGTGTGACGATGCCCAGGATCTGGAACCAGGAAATTCCCATCACTGTGTGGGTGGATTCAATGAACAGCGGGAGGTACCAATTACAGAACCCCCCTTCCTCCCTCCCTCCTTCTCTTCCTCCCTCCAGGCAGCTGTGGCTTTGCTGTGTGAGGGAACTAGGGCCACACTCAGGGGTGGGGCCTTAACTAGGCCGAATTCACAGAGGAGGAAGCTGTCGAGGCAGCAACCTAGGGTCAGGAGCTGACGAGGTGGGAGCTGTGGAATAACAGGGAAGGATCCCTGGGGACTTGGGAGGCCATGGAGAGCCTGGTCGTGAATACAGGACAAGATCTCCTTTCTCCTGGCCTAGAGTCAGCCTAGGGGGTGGGAGGAGGATGGGAAAAAGCTATGGTACCTTCTAGTTTTGGCAAGGAGCAGGAAACACACCAAGGCGGCCACCAGCGCCACTCCGACCAGGACCCCGGTCACCATGCCGGCGACGGCCCCCACAGGAAGGCCTGGGGCATTTTCTTCTGCAGAAAGAAGAAGGCAAAGTCTATCCCAGAGGAAACCACAGGGGCCTTGCGGGGAAGGTGTGCGGTCAGGGGAGAAGGAGATGCCACGGGGCCTGAGTGCGGTCTGTTGTGTTGTCCTCATCACGGATTCCCTTGCTTTCCACAGTGGCACAATTTTCAGCAGGCTTCACACACTGGGCAGCACCAACTCATACATTCTCCCAGATGTGCTTGCACCTCACCCTGCTCCTGTGCCTTTTAGTCCCTCCTTCTTCTCGCATCATGCCTCTTCCCTCTGTTTTTCCTTTTCCATCCCGTAACACTCACAAAGGGCAGGCCCTCGCCATCAACTCAATGCTGATGAGTGGGGATGATGTTCATTGACTGTTTTTGGGGGAATTCCATGTACCAGGCACAGTGGGTACCAACGTACCTACAGCTCATCTCATCTTCCCATCACCTTGAGGGAGAGGAGCATCACCCCCAGCTGCAGAGTTAGCATCTGAGACTTATAGCACCTCAGTAAGTCAAGGAAGGTCACAGAACTTGTAAATGATACAACAAAATTTGTACAGCATTCCAGGCTGGCCCCAAGGTCAGCTGTGAGAAATCAGAACAACAAGGGGAGGAGGGGTCCTGCAGATATGGAGTGAGAGGGCTCAGGGTAGAGTTTGGAATTTGCTTGTGTCCAAGACATGGACTGGGAAATAAGCTTCTAGGCTCTTTCAGAAAACTGACTGCCTCTACCAAGGGCCTAGGGCCTGTGCTCCAGGGATCCACTTACCAGAGACTGTGATTGTCTTGACTGTGATTGTACTGAGGCCAGTGGCTGAGTTATGGGCGAGGCAAGCATAGGATCCACTATTATCCACTGTGATGTTGGCGATAAGGAGATTTTGTGTGTCTTGCTGGAGCATTCCACAGACAAACCAGGAATACTGTGTGGGTGGGTTAGAGGCCACGTGGCAGGAGAGGTTGAGATTTGCCCCTGGGTGATAATAGGAGTCTGGGGGGGAAATGGTGGGAATGCCTGGTCCATCTGGAGCAAAGAGAATAAAGCCATAGATGATATCATCAGAGGGAAGGGGAAGCTGCTGGTCTGTGGAAGAGCCACAGTGTCCCTCTAAGCCAAGTCACAACCTTGAAGTCCTAATGAAACCCATTCTATCCACTGAATCTGGGTCTGAGACATTCACCTGTTTCTCCCATCACAGGCTGTGGACCCTGAGCCTCCCAGGACAGGAGCAGCCCCTCCTCTCCTATTCTTGGTCAAGGCTGGGTCTGCCCAGGTTTGCTCGGGACAGAAAGTCATGGCCAACCTGGGTGAGAGTCTGAGTCCTTGGAGCTGAGAGGGACTGAGAGGCCTGGCCTCTGGCTGTGTGGATTTGGGCTGGTGGCCCGGGCCACAGAGGAACAGAAGATGCTCACAGAGGACATCCAGGGTGACTGGGTCACTGAAGTTCACACTCGCTGGGTTCTGTATTTCACACTCATAGGGTCCTGTGTCATTCCTTGTGACACTGAGTAGAGTGAGGGTCCTGTTGCCATTGGAGAGCTGCAGCCTGGGACTGACCGGGAGGCTCTGACCATTTACCCACCACAGGTAGGTTGGGTCCTGAGCCTCAGATCCACAGGTGAAGGCTACAGCATCCTTGTCCTCCACGGGGTTGGAGTTGTTGCTGGTGATGGAGGGCTTGGGCAACTCCGCTGTGCAGATAACAGAGAGAAGATTGCCCTGTGTGGCACCTGTGATTCCTCCACAGGCATATTTTAATCAGAATCAACATCTCCTATTCTTTGGCCAACCCCACTCCTTAAAAGACCAAGACAGGGCTAGGTCGGTGGCTCACATCTGTAATCCCAGGACTTTGGGAGGCTGAGGCGGGTGGATCACGAGGTCATGAGATCGAGACCATCCTGGCTAACATGCTGAAATCCCATCTTTCCTAAAAATACAAAAAATTAGCCAGGCGTGGTGGCGGGTGCCTGTAGTCCCAGCTACTTGGGAGGCTGAGGCAGGAGAATGGCATGAACCCAGGAGGCAGAGCTTGCAGTGAGATGCGATTGCATCACTGCACTCTAGCCTGGGCGACAAAGCGAGACTCCATCTCTCAAAACAAACAAAACAAAGAAACAACAACAAAAAAGACCAAGACAGACATGTGTGTCACAGACAGATGCATGACCGTCTGAGGGCTCAGAGCCTGTGAGGCTGCCTGCCCGTGAAAGAAGCAGAGACTTTCTCAATTGTGAATTGAGCAGCAGCGTTGGGTGGTGGACAGACAAGGACCAGGAGTCACATCCCCTGGCACCTCTCCTGTTCCTTCCCTGATGGCTGACTGCCTGGCTGACCTTGGGGTCCTCACCTGGAACACGCAGGTGCTGAGGTCTCAGAATTACAAGGTGAGGTTGTTCCTTCCAGGTGTGTCATGGTGACTGATATGATACAGTGAGTAAATAAAAGCTATAGTAGAAGGCTGGGCACGGTGGCTGACGCCTGTAATCCCAGCACTTTGGGAGGGTGAGGTGGGCACATCACCTGAGGTCAGGAGTTCGAGACCAGCCTGGCCAACATGGTGAAACCCCGTCTCTACTAAAAATACAAAAATTGCCTGGGTGTGGTGGCACGCCTATAATCCCAGCTACTTAAGAGGCTAGGGAGAATTGCTTGAACCTGGGAGGCGGAGGTTGCAGTGAGCCTAGATCACACCATTGTGCTCCAGCCTGGGTGACAAGAGTAAAACTCTATCTCAAAAAAAAAAAAAAAAAAAAAGAGAAAAAAATAAAAGAGCAGAATGGTGATTTCCAAGGGCTGGGCGGAAGATGTTGTTCCTTGGGTGTGCAGTTTCAGTTATGTAAGATATGGAGGTTCTAGAGATCTGCTGTACACCTTGGTGTCTATAATTAATAGAGTTTGGGTATCTCTTATGCATAAGAGCAAAAGTGTTTTGGATTTCTGATTATTTTTTATTTTGGAATATTTGTATTACAAGTATCGGTTTATCATCCCAAATCTGAAAATCCAAAATTTCAAAATGCTCCAGTGACCACTTCCTTTGAACATCATGCCAGTGGTCAAAAAGTTTTGGATATTGGAGCATTTTGCATTTTGGATTTTTGAATTTGAGATTCCCCATCTGTAATAGTCCATTTTGCCCTTAAAAATTTGTCAGGAGTTTAAACAAAGGAGTTATGTTCTTACTGTAGTAAAAAAAAGAAATTTTGGGGAAACATTAAACTTTTTCTATCAGTGGAAGTTATTATTAATGGTCTAAAGATCTAAGGCAATTGCTGGCTGTAGTATTTCTCTTCATAACACAATAAGGTTTTGGTCTGCTAAACGCTGAAGACCAGCATAATCATGTTAAGCTCAAAGAAAGATGCTGACTTTGGTTTGAAATCAGTGACTCTCTGGGTAGAGAGAGAATTGTGAGTCCTGTTAGGAAGACAGAACTGGTCAGAGAGAAAGTCTGAGATGTCTCAATAATACATAGAGAAGAATAATCCCAAATTAGGAGGTGTGATGTGTGTTATGTCAGTAAATTTAGAAAGAACACTTATCTCAGTTTCCTGTGCAGAGTTAAGCAAAATAGGAAAGGGCCCAAAACAGTCATATGAAACGCCTTCCTCCTTTTCTCTAGACCCCAGGAAACACAACTAGAGTTTGATTAAATTATCTTGAATTGGGCAGAGTCTGAGATGCCAGTGGCTTGTGCATCTCCCCACCTGAAGACCCCATCTTATGATAATGACATCATCACGAGGGACACAGGTGTGTGTGGAACAGGCAGTGAGTCCATCAGACAGCACAGGGCTGGCCAGCTCCACCTGGTCCCAGGAACCACCAGTATCCCATTACATGTATGTTACAGCCTTTGTAGTTGTCCCACAGCTACAAAATATAAAATATGCCATTGTCACTACAAAATATTGAATGTGAAGTTGAATATGCTGTTCCACTTTTTTCCCGCACTCCTTTTTTTTTTTTTTTTTTTTTTGGAGACAGAGTTTTGCTCTTGCTGCCTAGGCTGGAGTGAAATCGCATGATCTTGGCTCACCGCAACCTCTATCTCCTGGTTTCAAGCGATTCTCCTGCCTCAGCCTCCTGAGTAGCTGGGATTACATGCGCCTGCCATCATGCCCGGCTAATTTTTTGTATTTTTTGTAGAGACGGGATATCATCATGTTGGCCAGGCTGGTCTCAAACTTCCGACCTCAGGTGATCCACCCACCTCAGCCTCCCAAAGTGCAGGGATTACAGGCATGAGCCACTACGCCCGGCCTTTTACCACTCTTTTAAAACTTTGCTGTTTCAGGCTGGGCGTGCTGGCTCATGCCTGTAACCCCAGCACTTTGGGAGGCCAAGGTGGGTGGATCATGAGGTTAGGAGATCGAGACCATCCTGGCTAACACGGTGAAACTTTGAAGCAAGGATGATTATAGTCCCTCCCTAAAACTAACTCCCTCTTTGTCAGGGATTGCCTTTGTAAAACTAATGAAACATTACGAGATTAGCATTATGGGAGGGGCCTGAATTGTGCTAAACTGTAGGCATAGTTTCTGCAGTCCCTGACTTCTCAGGACGCACGTGTCCAGAAGTCACAAGATTTGTGACTTCCCTAATTGTTCCCATAGATAACATCACTATTGTAGAACCTGAGATTGGTCTTTTGAGATGTTTCTCAGGCTTTTGCATTCTGGCAACTGACTGACTCCACCTGGACCAAGACCCATGATTCAGTGGTCTTGTGGTCCCCACTCAGAGATGATTTCAGCACACCAGGATCAGTTGCCACATCCCTATGATTTTATCCCCAACCAATCAGCATTCCCCATTCCCTAGTCCCCTGCCATCAGACTATCCATGAAAAACTCTAACCTCAAGCCTCCAGGGAGGCTGTTTTAAGTAATAAAAAAACTCCTGTCTTGCTGTTCGGCTCACTTAGCATTAATTAAACTCTATCTTGACTGCAATATCGTGGTCTTGGTGAATTGGTTTTGTCTGTGCAGTGGCAGGAAGAACCTGCTGGGCAATTACAAGAGTAGGTGGAGGAATCACTCGTCCCTGTCCTGTGGCCTGTTCCACGTGTTGGCCTCATGGAGGGAAAGAGCCCTGGGTGGGGACACAGTGGAAGCTCGTTCTCCTTGTGACCTGGGGACACTGACTCATGATGAAGCCTGGCAGGGGCTCTGATCCAGCTGATTTCTGTGCCTTTTTTTTTTTTTATTGTCCCGGAGTTGGGCCAGGCCACAGTGTGAGTGGGAAGGGAACAGAATAGCCAGTCTTGTTAGAGGGAGTTACTGGGGAATACCTAATGGTGGAGGAAGCTGTGCAGGGCAGGGGTATCCTCACTGTTGTGAAGGGGGATGAGGATAAGGGACAAGGGGGAACAGAGATAGTCAGAGATTACATGGCAGTGAGCTGTGGGGACTACAGTGACCTCATGGACCCCAGGGGCCAGGAGACCCTTGGTTATTCTGGAACCAGGACCAGGGAGCCCTGAAAACCTTCCCACAGATGAGCTGTGCCAGAGTCCCATGAGATGTGGTTCTTGGGGTAGCTTTAGGGGCAGGGGTTAGAGGAATGCAACAAGGATCCTGGCCCCTGGAGGGACAGGAAACAGGTGTGGCCAGAACCTTCTAGGATTCTGCATCCAAGATCCGGTCTCTGAAGAGTTTATGAATTATTCATCATTCATTCCTTCCCTCCTTCATCAGAGAACTACTGAGTGTGTGTCTCTCACTGGGCCCTGCGCTGGTGCAGGGTGTGAGTGGGGAGTGAAAGCAAGGTTGTTTCTTTATCCTCTCGTAGGGGTGACACTGACACACCAGGAAACACAGGATTTCGGGTCGAGTGAGGGCAGTGGTGCGCATCTGAGAGGGAGGCCCGGACATTCCTGGCACTGACTCTGTTGACACAAGGGATTTAGTTCCAGGTTAGGCTAATGTGTTAGGCTACTTTTCGTTACTATAAGGAAATGTCCGAGGCTGGGTAATTTATAAGGAAAAGAGATTTAATTGGGGCAGGGATCTGCAGGCTGTACAGGCATGGCACCAGCATCTGCTTGACTTCTGGTGAGGCCCAGCAAGCTTACAATCATGCTGGAAGGAGGAGGGTGAGCAGGTGGTGTCATGTGGCAAAAGCAGGAGCAAGAGAGAGTGTGGAGGTGCCACACACTTTTAAAGAACCAGATCTGTGAACTCAGAGTGAGAACTGACTCGTCACCAAGGGGATGGTGAGAAACAGCCCCCATGATCTGAGCGCCTCCCACCAGGCCTCACCTCCAACGTTGGGGATCACATTTCAACATGAGACTTGGAGGAGATAAACATCCTCACCTCCAACGCTGGCGATCACATTTCAACATGAGACTTGGAGGAGATAAACATCTTCACCTCCAACATTGGGGATCACATTTCAACGTGAGATTTGGAGAAGATAAACATCCTCACCTCCAATGTTGGGGATCACATTTCGATGTGAGATTTGGAGGGGATAAACATCCAAACTATATCAGGAAAAACTGATTAATTTTCCCCTTGCCCCTCACTCTCCAGACCAAAATCTCCCCTTCTGAGTTGTGGATGCCCAAGAAAAAAGAAAGAGGACTTACGACAGGTCTCAGGTCTGCAGATGTCTAATGATAGCCCCAGCCATCCCCTGGTGGAGAACAGGCAGCTGTAGCTGCAGAGAGACCTCGTATGACTCTAATCTGACACCTATGACTTGTGTGACCCTAGTCGGTGGCTGTGTCTCCCTGTTCCTCAATTTTTTTTTCAATAAGTAGGATAAGTGCTATTTGACTGTGAGGTTGTTTGTGAATTAATCTCAATATATTTAGAATTACTTGACCTCAGCTGTGTATAGAGGAGCTGCCCAAATGAACAGCATCTGTGCTTATTTGCCTCCAAAAGAGAGGTCCCTGGGCCTGATCCCTTGTGGAAAAGGAGCCGCCGGGAGCATCTTCTCTCTTCTTTTCCTCCCCCTGGGGATATTGAACTTCCCATGGAGTCATCTAAGTTCCCCTGGGCAGTGGGCTCATGCCCTAGTCATCTCGTCCATCTGTTCACTCCATGCTGAGTCTAAGGTGAAGGATGAGGCCTTGTCCTTGCCCAGAAGAGATTCTTGGGGCTGGACCCTGGCTTGTGACCAACTCCAGGAGCCACAATCCTCAGACAGCTGGTAAAATCTTGCTCCCAGTCAGCCCTGCCCAGGAGGTCTCACCCAGCCCTGGCACAGGATCCCTAGGGTCCCCAGGGTCACCTGGAGTCAGGAATCTGGGACGGGGATTTGCACAGGGGCTCAGCTCTGGGAAGAGCTGAGCTTCTCTGTGACGATCCTAGGGGGCCCCGTAGGCCAGGCCCTGACCCAGTTCTCCAGGGTCTTTCCTAGGGTCAGGTCCATGGAGAGGGCACGGGGTGCTTGGCTGACACTGACCTCCCCCTGCTGAGTGCCCCCATCAGACTGTCCTTCTTCTGCCCTGAGTGTCTGCAGGGTCTGGATGCAGGAAAAGAATTCTGATCTGTTGAAGTTTATCTCCCCTGTGTGTGTCCTGCACTAAATGCCCAAACCCCAACACAGGATGTAATGCAGAGGGGACACAGGCACAGCCCAGGCCTGACAATCCCGTATGTGGGAAGTAGAACTGACCCCAACACCCAGAGGTCATGGGGAATCACTCACGATATACCCGGAACTGGCCAGTTGCTTCTTCAGTCACAAGATTTTTCTTTATGACTTGTAGGGTATAGGATCCTGTGTCATTCTGGGTGACGTTCTGGATCAGCAGGGATGCATTGGAGTCTACTGTCTCTCGACCGCTGTGTGCGGGCCCTGGGGTAGTTTGATGAGTTCCTATTACATGTGATCCAATTCGACAGTTGGCATCCACTCTTTCTCCTTTGTGCCAGATGTAGCCAACAAGATTCTGGGACAGATTGTGGGCAAGTAGAAGAACCTCCTTCCCCTCTGCGACATTGAACGGCCTGGATTCAATAGTGAGCTGGGCAGTGGTGGGCGGGCTCCAGAAGGTTAGAAGTGAGGCTAGGAGGGAGAAAGCCTCGGTCAGTATTAGGACCTACGTATTGGGGTGGAAAGATGGGGCTCTGGGTCCTGAGAGAGTCTCTTCACCCCTCAGCCTTGGAGAGTGTGTGTGTGTCCACTTGGTCAAGGTCGGTAGTGTGACCTTTCTTCCTTCAGCACCTCTGACCTTGGCATTTTCCTGTTTGGAATCCCCTTCCCCAGGTGTCTGCATGGCTCCCTCCCCGCTGGCCTCAGGTCCTGCTCACATCAGGGCATCTTAGGGAGACCCCTCCCCTGACACCTCCGCTAGAGACCCTGGGTCTTCCCTTTCTGACCTTTTTCTGCTCTGTTCCCTCTGGGGCTCTTGTCAACACCTGACCTCACATTCTAGATCTCTTTGGGTGTCTGTCTTCATCCTCGCGAGAGTGTGAGCTCTTTGAACACAGAGACTTGTCTGATATTTGTTGCATGCCAGTGCCTAAAATTTGATTGCAAATACTCGTAGATGAGTTAATGAGTGGTGGTTATTTTGCAACTTGTGGTTGGTGGTCAAGGGCAGGGTTTAGTGCCCTGGTTATATTTTTATTTAAAGTGTCACCCTGATTAATTCTTATTCTTATCATTTTCTACTTGTAGTGACCAGTAATGATTAACTTGGAAAACAAGATGAACTGATTTTCCTCCGTCTTATCAATCCCAGTTCAATGTGATTGTCTTGTTGTGACCCGTGTCCCTCTCTGATGTTCTCTCCCCTGAGGCTCCAGCAGAAGTCCTCTGTCCCCTTTCAGAGCCTCGTCCTCCCCAGGAGACCCCAGCCATTCTCTGTGATCCCTCCTCCTGCCCACTCCCAGGAATCCTCCACTCACCTGCGAGCAGAAGCCCCTGCCAGGGGATGCATTCTCTGTGGGGAGGAGCCAAGGGGGGCCCCATGGTCTTTGCTGCCTGCTCTTTCCTCCTCTGTGGAAAAGAGCCTGGGCTCCAGGAATGCTCCGTCAGGGCTGCTGTGACTGTAGGCTCTGCTTTCCTTCCTCTTTCTGTGCTGAGCTTCCTCCCAGGGCAGGATCACTTTCCAGGGTCATGGGTGAAGCTCTGCCCCGGTCACTTCTCTGTCCCCTCCCCTCTCAGTTTTGCCTCCTTTTCTGTTCTTCCTTTTTCCCTTCTGTCTACATTTGAGTTCCCCAGACCAGGCTCTGAGAAGCAAGGCTTATTTGGACCCCTGTCTCGTAACAGGACGATCCTCCCTCCCCAGCGTGGACCTCTACTATGCCTTGACTGTGGGTCTGTCAGCACCAAGGAGAGTCCCTGGGGTCCCTGAACGTGGTGTTATTTTCTCAGTGACAGAGAAACCCCTTTGTGTGTGCAGGGTCTTCTCACATGTCTGGGAAGATTGGATTTACTCCCAGTAAGGAGGTCACAGAGACGTCCGGGGTCCTAGAAATGGACACATCTAGGGCTAAAGTCCAAGTCTAAGATTCTGAGTTGTTCTTTCTGCAGAGCTATGTGACTCTAATTTCTTTGGAGTAACCGAGAATGAAGCTGCACGGTGCTGTAGCTTTATGTCATCCACACACCAGACATTTCTAGGCTGACTTTATGATTTTCTCTCCAGCTTGTACCACCTTTATTAATATATATTTCATCATTTTTTCTAAATACATTTAGTTTACAAAACCTCCTGTCCTAGTAGGGATCGGTGACTCAGATCTGTGATCGCAGCTACTCAAGAGGCTAAGGTGGGAGGATGGCTTGAGGCCAGGAGTTGGAGACAAAACATCCTTGTCTTATGCAATATTGTCCATGAAATTACAGATTTGATCTGTGCTTAATTTTTTTCTCAACGTGTATTAAAATAAGCACATAAGTATTAAAGGCTTTAAAAAGCTTACTTACATTTCCCCTAAAATCAGTTTTTGGAAATGCTGACACAGTGGCATAAGCATGGACTTTATGTCTAGATGTACCTGGGGACAGCTCATGGTTCTGTCACTTAACTATGTCGACTTGGACAAGTCATTTGGCTTCTGTGATCCTCGATTCCCTGATTTGTAAAAGGAGGATGGTAAAATCCTCCTTGCAAAGTTGTTGGGAATAAGTGAGCTGCTGTGGGAGCCCAGTCCCAGGCGGATGTTGAGTACATGATGGTTATCATTGTGATTATTGCTGTGGAATTCTAGTTTTCAAAGAGAGTGTCTACGCTGGAATATTGGGCTTGTGGCTTTCTGCTGATGTGGATGTGTGAAAAAGCTACTTTTGCTTGTTAGGATTTGTGGTGCATCTGTCATTATTTTCATTTCCTAGTTCCGCTACCTATTTTCTCTGTGATGTTAGTCAAGTTGCCTAAGTTTTCTTTTGCCTCATTTACCTAAGTTGTGAAATGTGGGTGACAATACACTAGCGTGTGTGTGTTATTTCCCAGCTCTGACCACTAGAGGGCATAGAAGCACCGGCACCTACTAGCAATGGGCATATAGGTGCCTATGGTCTGTAAACATTATTCTCCCATGAAAGGAACCAGGGTTCCCCAGAGAAATGGCCGATTCCAGGGCTAGGGCAGGAAAGCACAAGAGGAGACTGGAGCATCTTGCGGGGCCTGAGAGTAAGGCACGGCTTGAAAAATGATGGGGATGTGTAGAAAATATCACAAATGCCAACTAGAAGAAGCTCCCAATGGCCAATTTGGGGACAATACAGCAATATAATCAATAATAATAGTAATGTAGTCCAACCAATAAATACTTGAGAGTCCATGCTGATATATATAAATAAGTGAATACATACATAAATGAGAAAGAAAAAATAGCTCTTTCTTACAGCAGCTTTCCAGTTAATCAATGTAGAAGCAATGATGGAAATAGAAAATCACTGTTTGGCTAACACCACAGTAAGAATTGTTTATCGGCTACAATTATCTCTGGATTCTAGAAATTAATTGGTAAAAGTATGCTGAGAACAAACAGGCTGTTTGTGTATTTCCAAAGTATCTGTCCACAAGATGCTTATTAATTACAATGAGATGAATAGTAACTTTACAGTAGAGAAATCTGGCAGACACCACCTGAACCAAGGGCTTAAAGTGAACCCCATCAGTAATGAGAGATACCGACATCCTGGGGCTCTGGCTGGGATGTCCTGAGAAAGACACATCACTTCTGTGCCAATCTTGCCCAAAATACACAACCTGAAACATCCCAAGGGAACATGAGACAAACACAAATTGAGGGGCATTCTACGAAACAACGGACCAGACCTCCTTAAAAGCGTCAAGGTCCTGAGAGAGGGAAAGAGTGGGAACCTCCCCGAGGCTGGAGGGACCTGGGAGATGTGATAATGTTACTCAGTGTGGGATCCAGGGTTGGACTCTGGAGCAGAAAAAGGACAGGACTAGGAAGATTAGCAAAATTTTATTTTATTTTATTTTATTTATTTTTTTGAAGACAGAGTCTCACTCTCACTACAACCCCTGCCTCCTGTGTTCAAGCGATTCTCCTGCCTCAGCCTCCCGAGTAGCTGGGATTACAGGTCCCCACCACCACGCCTGGCTAATTTTTGTATTTTTAGTAGAGATGGGGTTTCATCATGTTGGCCAGGCTGATCTCCAACTCCTGACCTCAGGTGATCTGCCTGCCTGGGTCTCCCAAAGTACTGGGATTACAGGCGTGAGCCACCATGCCCGGTCCAAAATTTTAATATTTCTCTCTCTCTCTCTCTCTCT